GAGAGAGGACAGGTCAGAGGACAGGTCAGAGGACAGGTCTGAGGACTGGTCTGAGAGAGGACAGGTCTGAGAGAGGACAGGTCTGAGGACAGGTCTGAGGACAGGTCTGAGAGAGGACAGGTCTGAGAGAGGACAGGTCAGAGGACAGGTCAGAGGACAGGTCTAATGGGGGCAGGTCAGAGGACAGGTCTGAGGACAGGTCAGAGGACAGGTCTGAGAGAGGACAGGTCTGAGGACAGGTCAGAGGACAGGTCAGAGGACAGGTCTGAGAGAGGACAGGTCTGAGGACAGGTCTGAGGACAGGTCTGAGAGAGGACAGGTCTGAGGACAGGTCAGAGGACAGGTCTGAGAGAGGACAGGTCTGAGAGAGGACAGGTCAGAGGACAGGTCTGAGGACAGGTCTGAGTGAGGACAGGTCAGAGGACAGGTCTGAGGACAGGTCTGAGAGAGGACAGGTCTGAGGACAGGTCTGAGAGAGGACAGGTCAGAGGACAGGTCAGAGGACAGGTCTGAGGACAGGTCTGAGAGAGGACAGGTCAGAGGACAGGTCTGAGAGAGGACAGGTCTGAGGACAGGTCAGAGGACAGGTCAGAGGACAGGTCTGAGGACAGGTCTGAGGACAGGTCAGAGGACAGGTCTGAGGACAGGTCAGAGGACAGGTCTGAGGACAGGTCTGATGAGGACAGGTCAGAGGACAGGTCTGAGGACAGGTCTGATGAGGACAGGTCAGAGGACAGGTCTGAGAGAGGACAGGTCTGAGGACAGGTCTGAGGACAGGTCTGAGAGAGGACAGGTCTGAGGACAGGTCAGAGGACAGGTCTGAGGACAGGTCTGATGAGGACAGGTCAGAGGACAGGTCTGAGGACAGGTCTGAGAGAGGACAGGTCTGAGAGAGGACAGGTCTGAGAGAGGACAGGTCAGAGGACAGGTCTGAGGACAGGTCTGAGAGAGGACAGGTCTGAGGACAGGTCAGAGGACAGGTCTGAGAGAGGACAGGTCTGAGAGAGGACAGGTCAGAGGACAGGTCTGAGGACAGGTCTGAGTGAGGACAGGTCTGAGGACAGGTCAGAGGACAGGTCTGAGAGAGGACAGGTCTGAGAGAGGACAGGTCTGAGGACAGGTCTGAGGACAGGTCTGAGAGAGGACAGGTCTGAGGACAGGTCAGAGGACAGGTCTGAGAGAGGACAGGTCTGAGAGAGGACAGGTCT